AATCATATAGTTGGAAGGGTCCTAGCAGGCCATGGGGTCCAACCCATGCTCAATGCAGGACTAAAGTTACCCACCTACTTTTTTCCTGACCTGACCATGCTTAGCCTTCAAGATTAGTTAGGAACAGGGGCAAAATGCACATGTACATGGAATCCAGGCCCCCACTCACCCAAGGGAACCTGAGCTTATGGAGCCCCCTCAGGTTTTTTCCATTCATTCCCCTCCTTGATCCCACCCAGCAGGTACAGCTCATTGACCATGCAGACCACTGCTCAGTTCTCACCCGCAGCAGACTTACTCATGCTCAAGGTGGTACTCAGGGGAATGTGATCCATGTTGAAAGCCATCTTGTACAGGGTGATTGTGAGGTGCTCTATGGGCTTGACAGAATCTTCATTACTGTGTCTTGATGTTGGAAAGCCTGGCACCATTTCAGAAACAATGATCTCAAAGGTGTCCCAGACATGTGGAAAATGGCACAAAATCAGGCATCAGCCCAGGCATCCAGGTCCAGCATGGAAATCCCTACGACCTCCTCATGAGGCAGTTGGACCATGCATCAGTCTGCCGTTTAGCTCCTTGGCCACCAAAGAAGTGGCTGCAGCACTTGCCTTCTGGTCCAAGCTGGCAGACATCATCACTGGTTGCTGGCTGCAGTAGGGATGAGGTCCCATCAGACATGAGCATCACCTCTTACAGGAAACTTGCAAAATGGGGAGAAGATTGAGGGCATTTGGCTGAAAAGCCCCTTTCCCAGGCACGGGCAGCTCCTTCTCACTGGCACATCTCTCACAAATGGCATGCACAAAGGAAGCACAACTGGATGTGTGCCAGCGCCTGCCATTTGCAACTCTCCTCTCCTCCCTCCTCAAGTATCACGCTGCAGATGCTGCTGTACCCAGAGAGCAGTGTGTGGGGGAAGAAGGGGGGCCTGGGGAAGAGCAATGCAAGCAAGCAGAAGAATACAGACACTTCTCAGGTGCTCCGAGAAGCAGGCTGCCATAGAAGTGGGAACAGGCAGATGCACAGGAGGAGGTGAGAAGCAACAGACCCCACCAGATATCAAAGCATTGCAGATGGTGCTGGCGCTCTTCACAAGGTGCACGCACCACACTGTCAAGGCGCAGGGGAGATGGACGCACATTAGCCATAGCGATGGGCCAGTGCTGCCTCCAGAACAAGCCCTGCACTCTGCTTAGGAGACTGACAGGCAAGAGTGGATTGTGGCCAACACTCCAAGCCTGTTGTTAGCCCCTCCTCAGATGCCTGCATACCACCAGAAACCTCTGCCGAAGGAGGCATGCTGCAGCATCCCGGTGGGAAGGGTGGAAAAAGGGAGGACAGAAAAAGAGAAAATGATTCCCTGGTTAGTTAAACCCTTCCAGACAGCCCGGCCTCCCAAGGTTATTTCCCTTTATGCCACATGGGAGCCAACTTCTGCTTCTGCCTTTTCCCTCTCTCTGCATTGCTGGAGAAGTGAGAGATGGACTGCCCCACCCCCAGCCATGTTGCAGCTCCTTGTAATATGGCAGAGCAACAGGAAAGAAACAGAGCAGAGAGTAGGAATGCAGCTGAATTTAGAGGGAGGAGGAGGGCTGCTTAGCTGTCATGGGAACTGCTGCTCTCAATGGACACCCTGAACTCTTTTCGGGAGGGCAGTTCTCCTTCACCACCTGCCAGATAGCTCTGCTGGTGCACCTGCCAATTCTATTGCCCTCCAGTGCCAGCTCTCCTTCCCAGCCCCGTGAAGCCCCTTCCAAAGCTGCTGCTGTACTTTCTGCAGAGCACTGTGGGTGACCAGCAGGCCAGGGATGGGCTGCTGTGAGACGGGTGGTGGAGAAGGGCACATGGATTGTGCGCCAGGCCACCAACCCAGCAAAGGCGAGGCTGTGCCCAGAGGAGCTGAGCGGGTGGCATGGAGCTGTGGCAGCAGTTGAAGGGGGGCATTTCAGGAGTGGGGGCTGCAAGCACCAGCAGAGGCTGCTGTAGAGGCCCTTGCTGAAAGGGCTAAAACCGGGTTTGCAATTGGGTACTCCGGTCTGCAGCGCTGCCACAATCATTCGGGTGGTCTTGGTCTGCTGGTCCACAGCAGCTGTGGACATGGCATGCTTATGTGGCTGCCAGGTCCTACCTGATGATCTTTGCAGAGACGCAGGTGCGGCTGGACAGGTTGCTGCTCACCTAGACTGTGAGCCTCCTTTGGGTTTCCTGCTCCTTCGTGTGTGGGATCAGTTCATAGCTCCGCCCTGCAGCCAGACTCCTACACAGCAGCACTCTCTCTGCTTTGCACTCGTGCAGACACATGGCATGCTGAGCATTTGGGAGCGGGGACCCCTCCAGGGGAGCTCCTGCTTGTCCTACCTCCTCTGGCTCCCCTGCTTGTGCGCCCACCTGCTGACTTGTCACTCCTGCCTGGGGCTTCTGAGCTGGCTTCCTCTTTGGGGAGATGCCAGAGGGAGGCTTCCGCTGCCCGCCAAGTACCTCCTCTGTATCTTGTCTCAGTTCTGGTGAGGGGCCTCCACTGTGAGAAACGTGAGATGAGGGCCCCTTTGATTTCCCAGTCCGCGTGCTCTGGGGGTGGCCCTGTGCCGGCGAGGCAGTGGAGCATCACCTTGTCAAGACTGGTGGCATGTGGTGCCCACTGCTGCCCCTCCCCTAGAGACAGTTGCCTGGGTGGCAGAGGCAGACGTGCAGATTAGAGCCGAGATGCAGTGCCCACCCCTTCCTGCTCCAGTTCTGGTGCGGACTGCATTTCCATGGTAAATATTATCCACTCTGCTTGCTTGGGTGGCCGCCCCTACTCAGCTATGGGTGTTTCCTCTCTGGAAGAGCTTTCTGCCCCATATCCCTCCTTACCTCACTGTAGTGGGCAAGCGGGTAGGGCTGCTGGTGGGAAAGCTGGAGTCAGAAGCAAGGCAGGATGGTTGCTGGGAAGCACAGGATGGATCTGTGGAAGGCATGGCTAGTCCTGGAGCGCTGAGAGGGAAGCTCCTCTTGGTGGTGGGGCATCTGGTAATCTGGACAATGTCCTGGAGGTGGGGGAACACTGCTGACTGTGCCAGCCTGGGCAGAACGGAGCTCCACCTTCCTGGAAATGGGAGTGGTTGTGGGATGGGGACTGGGCACCCTTCATGGGGCAGAGGCACACTCTTGGAGGTTGGAAAGAAGGGACACTGCTTCTTATGGTGCAACGGGGCATGATGCCCTGGGGATTAAGGAGTACAAAGACCAGTTTGTCATAGCACGGTATGGTTCTCGGGGCCTTCCCAGTCTGCTTGCTGTAAGTGGTGACCTCCTTGAACTCATTTGAGGCATGCAGCTTATTCTTGCCCTTAGTTAGAGTGTGCAAGAAGTCTCTTTTTTCAGCTGCTAGGAAGATAATGGAAAGAGACTGGCATGGTGCATGGACCTGAAGTGCTTCTGTGCCCCTGGGCTGCCTCATAGCTCAACGAATGTGTCCACTTTTTTGGTCCAGAAGTAGGAGGGCAGTGTCTTGTGTCTGGCTGGCCCTCTCTGTCAGATAGGATTTCCTCCAGGAAGAACTGCCGAGAAGGTGCCTGGGAAGCTGTGGTGCTTGGGAGGAGAGGCTGAACGTTGGGGAATCAATGCTACCATTGCCCCCAGTGTCCATTCTGCCTGGGAGTGCAGGCACCCATGCCAGGGATGGAGCAGGAAGAGCTTTCTTGTGTGCAGCTGTCTGGGAACTGGCTGGCTTTTGAGAAAATGTGCCAGGGATGCTGCAGTGGGGGAGGCAGTCATGGGACTTATGTGTTGCCCATATGCCCCACTTTTGAAGAAGTAACTTTACAGAGGGGAGAGATGCTTTTGCCAGAAATCCAGTCAGAGCAACTAATAAGCTGCATCTATGAAAACTGCAGAGAACAGATAGGAGCGTGTAACATGGATGCCTCCAAGTTCACTGTTTCAGGTACTGCAATGTATTTCTTTGCTATTGGAGAACAGAGACAAGATACGGACATCTGGAGGGAACCAGAAAAGCCTGAAGGGGATGGGAATATGGAGAAGCCTGCAGGTCAGGCAGGCACCGATGCCTCTGTTGCTAGGCAGAATGGGACAGCAAAGCAATTCTTTCCAGGGAAGTCTGTGGACCAGCTGCAGACCAGGTCCACAGAAACCACAGTGATTGGTTTGGACATCACAAGATGCCACGGTGAAGTGTGGAAACCACAGGACAGAACATTGGTTCTCTCTGTGGTTTCCAGAAACCCACTGTACCACCCTGCAATACCACGACAGGTTTCGGAGGACACAACAGACCAACCATGGTAGAAGCCACCATGGCTTGCTCTTTCATGCAAACCCACCTTCCCTGTCTGCAGGCTTGAAATCTAAAAAGACATGGCACACAAACAAGAATATGGAAGGGCAAAGAGGGCAGATCATTCTTTTAACAGACCTGGTGGATTGGCTCCCATTCCTTATTTTCTTCAGCTTAGCCTATTGGAATAGGCTTAAAGGTATGGCTTCGTGTTCTGTAGCTCTGTCCCAAACTCTGGCTTGCACTTAGGCTCTTGGGCAAGTTACTATTCCTTTAGTCTCATTGATTTGCTTTCCGTGAAATAAGTGTTCAGTGACAAACCATGTCCCCCATTATAATTGCTTTATAAACTCCTCCCACATGGTGGCCATTTTGTGAAAGCACCCACAATATTCGTCATTCTAAATTCTTTTGCTCCCCTGAAAATGTAAGCCTCTTTTATATATATCCTAGAAATGGAAGGCTCTGTATTAGAGCTGATCTTCTCTAAAGCTTCCTTTAGAAACTGGTTGTGGGGCTCAAGTTTAAACTCTGTCATTCTACAGTAATATTATGAAGCAAATATAGGTGTCTAGGCTCAGGATGGACTATTTAAAAAACAGGCTAGTGCAAAAATCCCTCCTGAAATTGAGATATAAATTAAATGTTTATCAGTTACATATTCAAAGTTCATGTGCAACAGGTGACTGAACACACAGTAGAGACAAAGGGGAACAAAGGGTTTTCCTAGCAAGTCAAAGTGCTTTTATTTTATAAAGCCTTATTCATGTCTGAAGTGTGTTTTTAGAACTATGCAATACATTGTGAGACTTCCTCACCCCCTCCAACAGTTTAACAGTAATGAATGACAAGACTGTTACAGACAAAAAAGGCTCTGTCGTTAGTTCATTAAAAAGCATACGCTAATTGGCCACAATGGAATATTTACTCGTTTAATGTAACATGTACCTCAGTTTCCCAGTAGCATCTTTGCAGTCTCACGATACTTTAGAAGCCACTGTAAGCCTTCTTACAGTGAGAAAGAAAACATTCATGTGATGTCAGAGATAACAGGTATGCATGTATGAGGGGAAAAATAAAAACAATGATACTCAAGCCACAGTGACCAACTTAAATACATAAAAATATAGAATTGGACACATATAGGACAGTACTGTTAACATCACTAGAAGGGTCACATGGTGAAAGGATCCGAAATTGCAATGGATCCTGGAAAAAGACTAGGCACCCAGATCAGGGCATATTCCGCAATTGTGGAAAAAGCCTCGGTTCACATCTGACCTATTAGAACAATGGATCTAGTATATTTATTTCCAACAGGGCAGACTCAAGTCCCACACCTAACCTCAAATAATTCTATTAGTCAATGCAACAGCTAAATTGGTAGAAATCTGGACTCACTCATTCTTACTGTTGGTGAAAGGAAGGTAGCCAAATCCCACCATCCAGTCTGAGCCACAGAGAGAATACCTGAAATGCCAAAGTAGATCGTCTCAGCTTTATCTGGGCTCATCAACCCCCTTATCAGGGTTTTCCATAAAACCCATGAACCTTCCTCTTGTGGTCAGCTTACTGGAAAATAAACATACTAGATAATATGACCTTTCATCATATATGGACTTTTGACCAAATATTAAATTCTAGCAACCAAGAATACATGGAACATAAACCCATATGTGGATTTTTACCCTGGGTATAAAGTAGACTGTATAAAGGAAACATCTGGAGAGTTCCTGCCAAACCAGCATAATTTCCCAGTTGAACCTCAAAGTCTGACAGATTTGAAGCATGAATTTGAACATCGACCGATGAGACCTGCTATATGCTTTTCAAGTCTGCCTGTGTTTAGATTAGTAAAATAGTCAGAGTAGGTCTGGGGACATCATAGCAAAAGCTAGTCTGTATTAATGGGACTATAAAAGCTGATGCTACTAGTCTTTGTGAAAGTAACTATTGTACAAGCATTTGCAGATACAGAAGCATGTGAAGCAATATAACTGCATGTCTACAACTGTAGTATTTGCGAGGAAAAAAAAAGCACAGATGAAGCCATGAAAAATAAAGTCAATGTAACTGATGTGTCACAGACAGTTGCAAGTTCTCCAAACTTAGAATAAATAGGTTTGTTTGTGTGCAGCTTTAATGTGCCTCTTAATCTTTTCCTACAGCCTACTTCCGAACAGCCCATAAAATCAAGATCTTAACAGTTTGGTAGCGCATGGAGGCAGAAAACCTTTGGTTCAAGCAGAGTCTTAATGCGGAGTCCAAGAACTCCAAGAAAGGGAATTGGCTCCACATTGGGAACAATGATAGCCTAACTAGACAACTAAGGATTGCAGCCTAACTTTGGAACAGGCATTTTTTCTAGGCAAAAGGTAGAAGCTAAACTGATGGCAACAGTGGCGAATGGATGGCAAAGACTTTTTAAAACAATGATTTAGAGAAAATGCTAGCATTTGTGGGCGAGAAAGCCTTTGAGAGAGAGAAGGCAGCAAACAGGATCTAGGGTCGAGCAACCTAAATGATTTGGCAAGTAGCCAAGGAGCAGGCTGATGTGGTAACTAAGGAATGCCAGCAACCTAAGAGAATGGCAGGAAAATCACTGTTCAGAAAAAAGGAGAATAAAAGCATGGATAGGTGTTGCTTACCTGTAACCGTTGTTCTTCAAATGGTCATCTGTGCATTCACACATACAGGTTCGCGTGCCTGCGCAATGCCTACACTGGGAAAAATGTCAATAGCTGAGTATGCTGGACTGGGTGGGAGCCACTCCCCTTCCGGTTCCCAGAAGGGGAGGGGTCGCTGCCCACTCCCTCAGTTCCTATGGAGACCGAAGTTGGGTGCATGACAGTCAGTGGGGCCGGAGGGCAAGTTGTGTGAATGCACAGATGACCACTTGAGGAATGCCTGTCATTCTTTGAGGTCTCTGTGCATCACACACATGGGTGACTAGCAAGCTTGCCCCGCGTAGGATGGAGGGAGGCTGTCATCCCTTGAGAACAGAGTAGAGTACTGCTCTGCCGAAGGCACAGTCTTTCCCTACATGGACATCAAGCCAGCAGTGTCTTGTGGACACCGATGGTGTGGAGACATCCTGCAGGGGGACCGTGGGTGTGATACTAGGTGGAGGCCCACAATCTTGTATGCAAGCCTGATGCTGTTGGAGATCCACCCTCTTGGATATTCTGGGTGATGAGGTGTCCCCTTTTTTCTGGCTGTCATAGCACATAAAGAGCCAGGGAGAGTGGCTAGAGCTTCTTGGTTTTTGACTTGAAGAAGGCAGGGGCCCTCTTGAAAGTTGATTAGAGGGAGGGTTGTCTCTACAGAGGTGGAAGGGTTGGCAAAGAAGGTAGGGGAAAGGAAGTCCTGCTTAAGGGGAAAGGATGAGGTGATCTTGGCCCTGAAGGGTGGAAGACTGCCTTATCCCTGAAGGAGGTCAGGTAAAGGTGTCCACTTGAAGTGTGGAGAGCACACAGAGCAGTGGGCCGAAATTCTGGCTCTGAGGAACGGCATCTTCAAAGACAGGCAGGGAGCTCTGCTGTGGCAAGGGGCTTGAAGTCTGGGCGGGGAATGCAGTCCTGGTCCTGCAAGACGAGGTCCAGACATTGTGCAGGTGCACAAGCCGGCGAATGTGATGCACAGAGACCATGAAGAAGAACTCTCTGTTATAAAAATGTAGCTCACAAGATGCATATGGTAATAGTATTTTAGGGCTGGCATTCACTGAATCTGCTCAGTGGAAGAAAAGAACCAAGTTGGAAGAAAGAGGAGTCAGATGCAAAAGAAATGAACACATGGGCAGCTCTAAGTGTAGCTATAGAACATAGAGAAGAAAAAGGCAGAGAATCATAAAAAAAGTCAAGAAACCATCCAATTCGTACAAGTACTGTTGAAATGCAAATCGGGTGGGTGTGAGGTAGAGAAGGAGTATGTACAAGAGGCTACAGCAGAAAAAGAAATGTACTCGTTGAAATCCTATGGGATGGAGGTGGCAACAAACTTAATGGGCCCTTCAAATAATTCTGTAACTACTGTACAAGTGGTGGAAGTCTCAGCAAGTAGCATAGCAACTAGCTGGGTGATAAGGCTGTGATCACTGCTAACATCAGCCCCAAGGACTGGGCATTAATCTGAGTGGCAAATATGGGGCAGGATACACTACTTCAGTCTGGAGAATCACGAGAGCCCACCACATCTTACCACACTGAGCCATCCAATTTTCGCATATTTAAGCCACAGCTAGAGCTTATTGTGTTATCTAAACCCAGATGGTAGGGAGCTAACCTCCCCCACATAACTCTAGAGCAGGACATGGGTTATGCAAGGCTTGTCAAACCTTTGCACAAATCCCACTGCCCAAGTTCAGACAACATGGTAAGCTACAGCTGCAGCTTGGCCAACACATACACACCACAATCCAACCCTTAAATAGGCAATGATAGGCTGAACTATGTGCATGCAGCTAGTGGCTTATTTGATCATGGGAGCTGGTCCGCTGCACTAGAAGACAGAATTCTAGAGACTATTTGCCCACACAATATCAAAACATATTCTATATAGGACTGAAAGAATCTTCTGAGGTGTTCTTGGAAAGGAAGGAAATACTGGGAATTATAGCCAAGTTCATAGTAAATGAATGGGATCTTTAGTTACGACACAGATGAATTTAAGCAAGTGGAGCTTGACAAGATCTATAGATGCAACTAAAAAAAATGATCAAGAAGAGGCACTTAGCAGAAGTAATCCAGAAAGCCAATAGCCCACTTCCATATATCAGTATCTGTCCGTCCATCCATCCATCCTCAGTTCATTTACTCCCAAATTGAGACCTTGATGCTTGGGTTTCAGCAGTAGCCATGAGCGCTTTTCTCCACTGAAGCTGGTGGACCAACTATTCCTATTGCTAGTGGTGTCAGTTCTGGCCTTTGCACATGACTTATTTACTTTTTGTTTGGATTACTGCATCATACTCTATTGAAGTTGTCCTTTGACATCTGTTCAGAAAATCTAGCTGGTCCAGAGTGCTGCAGCCAAGCTGTAGAATGGGTCCACATATTGGGAGCATGCGCCTCCTATGTTAAGTCAGCAACACTGACTGTTCATACAACTCATGTGCTGGTTATAACCAATAAAAAGGTCCTAAACTGCTGGAGACTTGGTTCTCCGAAAGACGAACCTTAAAAACTTTGGAGAGGATTTTCTCTATCTTACTAACATCTGTTATGTGGTTGGCAGGAATCCAGGAAAAGTCATTCTGAGTAGCTTCTAATGCAAATGGGTACTGGATCTATTGAGCTGATTTGTTTTGCTCCACTGCACCGTATTTTAACTTTAATTTATATGTTTGATGGGCTGCCATTTCCTTAGTTTGTACCTGCCTTGTCCACATTTTATTGTGCTATTATCATAATGACTGGATTTTTAAAAACTGTTGTTGTTGTTCACCATCTTAGGAAATTTTTATGAAAAAGCAATGCAACAACAACAAAAAAAGTCCAGGCTGATCCTTGTTTGAAGCCATCCAAGCAGGAATGATACAACTTGAACTTACAAGCAATGATTCCACTATATCTCCCCTCCATTCTGGAAGGCCAGGGGACTGACTGATGCAGAAAAGCTTTTCACCAGGCAAGTGATATAGGAGTTATTCCTGACACTGGGCATAACACAATGGTTCCATAGCCATTACGATCCACAGTCTTAAGGGGCTGCGGAACAGTATGACCAGAGCTTGATGAAAATGCAGTAAAATATAATTGAGTCAACTGAGAAGGACTGGAATGTAAATCATTCTTATAGCAATTTAGGCCATCAAGGCCCCCTCACAATTTGTTTTCTGTTCAACCCCGTGACTAATGCAAAGCTCAGTACAGAACTCCCAGACGGGCAGCTGAGGAAGGTAACTGTTGGCTCTACTGATGTGTTATATAAAGATTTACAAGAAACAGCTAAGAAATAATCCAATTAAAGCTAAATATAAAGAGGAAAGAAGTGCCTGAAATGCAGTGAGTGAGGATGAAGCCCAAGGAAGTGGCAAGTGGGCAACTGGGTAATGCAAGACTACATTTTAAGGAAAGAAGCTTTCTTCCGTCCAGAGGAGGATTCTGCCATATAGTGAACATTTTATCTGATTGACATCAGCTGAAGTTTGGCAGAATTGGTTCCATTGTTCTTGGTTAAAAGTCCAGAAGGGAGTTTAGAGCAAGAGTGAAAGGTGGGTTAAAATGCCCATATTGTAAAATGAGCTCACAAGTGAAGCATGTGATTTTACTCTTAAGGAAGTTATATTAAAGTCAGTGTATACAAATATTAAAGATAAATAAAGGCAGACTGTGAGAGCTAATACACACAAGAGCTGAGAAGGGTGTAAAAAGCAGGAATATACGCCCTATAAACATATAGGACATTAACATTTGCAAGAATCCAAGATCACATAGATAAATCTTACCAGAAAATCACCAAAGTTTTTCTTCTTTTCCTGCCAACCAAGCACTTCCATGGACCCCCACAAACAGGGAAATAAGATGAAGTGGCATCAAAGGGTCAGAACAGAGAATTGAGACTTTTCATCCCTGGAAAAGAGATGGCTCTATGGACCAGCAAGTGAGGATGAAGGCAGTGTTTTGTGGGAAAGGTGCTTGAATGAATCCTGCAGTGCCTACCACAGAAAGTGACAGAACAATAAAGCAGGAGACGTGGCATTAAGTGGAAAAAGGACATGCACACATTTGGCATGCAGGGAAAGAGACAGAAGGGTTTTTAAAAACCCACTTTTATGAACATGAAGTTTTAAAAAGAAAAGTAAGCGCAACTGCGTGATATCTACTTCCCCTTAGGGAATAGCATGTAAAACATACTGTGCTGGTTGTATTACCACAGAGGGATGCAAGATAAGCTGGAGGTACTTGGGCCTTTGCGACCCTAGAGAGGTACCCTCATCACACAGGCACAAGATACGAACTAACAAATTGTAAAGCAAATCTTCAGGGAAGATGGGCTGGGCTATAGAAAAAAAAAAAAAGGAATTGTGTGGAATAATGCAACAGGTGAAGAGTGGCACAGTGGACATTGCTTAAGGTTTTTCACCCTGAAAAGTCACCAGTGATAGCATTTCTGGTGACAATCCACCTAAGCATCCAAATATATATACGGGTAATACATAAGTGTATGTAATACATTTGATCGTACCAATAGAATTCAGGCAGGGAAAGAGATGGCAATTTAGTGAAGTATTATTTCTAGGTATTAGCAGCTGGGGGATAGATGGAGCTCTATCAACTTGCAAATACTCCCCCATGGAAATATGGGGTATATTTATGAAGTCTGGGTTTTTCAAAGATATGAATATTAAAAAAGAGAGTACCCCCCAAAATTTGTTCAAAGTAAGGCCTGAAAAAGGTTAACAGGTATGCATACAAGCTGTCCATTGTTAAATATCTTGGATTTGCAATTGTTGCTCTTTTTATCTCAATCATTTTTATAATATATCCAAAATTGAAGGATGCAGTTTGGAGGATCATGTCTCACTGGACTGTGAAAATCTACCACAGAAAGTGAAGTTACTTTAATATGCTAAACAAGACTTACATTATTGAGGAAATGAATATGCCAACCAGATTTGCAGCAGCTGATAAACATTAAAAAAGAGTGGAACCAGCATCATTAGTGTGTAACACAATAACTAACCAATTATGGATATGATGAGCAGATCAAAGAGGAAACAGAACACGGCGGGAAGCTAATGTGGGCTGCAGCTCTTCCCTCACACAGTCACTAATGGGCTGGACTGCTGGCTGAGAAGTAAACTCAAGCAGGCCAAGGGGAAGAAAGACAGCAGCCATAGCACTGGGAATAAAACAAAGGAAGCCGTCTTATTCCAGTCCTTCGAGCTCAGTCTTTTTTTGCGTTGGCTGGCAGTGCCTCTCCAGAATTTCAGACGGGTGTCTTTCTTAGCCCTACCTAGAGATGGCAGAACTCAGAAACTTCTGCATGCAAAGCATGCCTTCTGCTGAAGCGATGACAGTTCTCCAAGAAAATCAGGGGATTCAAGGTCCCAGCGTCATTAACCCTGATCTGGATAAAATCAACACAATCGGATGTTCTTGAAGGGTTGCTGTAAATCTCAACATCCATTTGTTTTCACACAGAAATGGTATCTTTAAGCATCCGAGAAATTTTGTGGGCAGAAAGCAAAAGAAAGAGATGGTAGTTTACATTAACAACTGTATCACTTTTTAAAGTTCATTATCTTTGGTGGAAAAATAATATCAATGCAGATATGTTTAAGGAGGTCACAAAATCTTGTGTGCGTATGTGGGGTTTTTTGTTTTGTTTTGCTTTGCAAGTTTTGAAAGTAACATGGTTTGTCTTTGACCACACAAAATAGAAGATCAGCTGCTATTTTATCAGATTTCTCCATAGTCCAAACTGCACACATTATACACAACTGCAATCTTGACAACACTGGTTTTACATCATTAGAGAAGGCAACCTGGCAATCCTGGAATCCATTTTAAGCTGCAGTGGGAGAGCATGATTTCTTTTTTTCTGAGTTGCCTCTCTTGTTTCCACAAGGGACTGTTTAAAAGGCACAATTTTAGCACAGTGTAGAAGAAGTGAATGTAATTTGAAGCATATCTAATTTTGTCCTTTAGGAACCTTAGAACCTTCCCCAAAACTTATAATTTAAATTGTTTAAAACAGGTTACAAGTTACAGCACAATATTAAGCAATCAGTAAAATAGCATAATTTGGAGAAACACAATGCTAATTATTATTAAAATAATGAAGAACCACCTAAATACCTCAGAACAATCTGTCACCATTGATGTAAAAAGAGATCCTCTCTCCTGGGCTTGAATGAAACATCTGCTTGGGTACAGTACTGTATATTACACTTCAAGAAATTACTTCATCTGTACTGCAAAATAACTTTACATGTAAACTTCAGATTCACATACTGCGCACAAACTCAAAAGCATCCCTGTTTTCCTATTAATGTAAACAGTAAAATTTAGGGCTTAAAAAAGAAACATTTTAATAAAATATTAAAAACAGCACATGTAAGCAATTAAATATCCTGTTTGATCAGTTACAGGTGAACAGACTTTCCTATTCCTTTGTTCATGTGGTGGAAAATACTATTATTGCCCCAAATCATGCATTTCTTTCTTAAAAGCATGATTTGATTTCCTTTGCAGTATATTCAGTCCCTATACGACAAACTTACAGTAAAAGCTTTATGTACTAAGACAGCCTATATTCCTTCCCCCCTCCTCATATTCTGTTTACCCTTGCAAAGGACATGCAGCATGATTACGGCATTAGATCTTGGTTTAACCGCCCCCCCCCCCAAAAAAAAAGGAAAGGAAAGGAAAGGGAAAAAGGCCAAACCTCTGAATTGCTGGAAGGCTATTTCCTGTTGCAATGGGCCAATGGAATAAAGTAAAACAAAAATTTGAAATGCTGCCAATGGGAAAGTTTCCAACACATGGAGCTGTTCATAAGGAGTGCCAACATGCAGGGTTCTTAAGTGTAACATTCGCAGTAAGGTCATAGTTGTCAACACCACCAATACTGTCTTGCACCTTTCCATTCAAAGTATAAACTGATCCACAGTTTACAGTTTTGATACCAGTATAGCAGAACATGCACACCCTCCTTTCTTCCTCCCCCCTCCCCCTCTCCTCCTTTGCCCATTGTTCCATCTCAGCTCGTATCCACGGAGTGTTGTTGCAATGCAAGCTGAGTAAGAAGCTGACCTATTTTAGTTATTAGTTAATTTATATTTCTTTTGCACACGCACACACTCACACACACGCATCAGAAATAGCTAGAACTATGCTGGGCATAATCAGGCAGCTGTTAAAGCGAGTATTTCACCCCGGTCGGTCATCTTTGCCAGCAGATGTAAACGAGGGGGCTGCCTTCTGCAAGAGAACACTTGAGAGTTCCTTTGAAAAGAAGCTGTTATCCCTCACACGCTTGCAGGCATTGCTGCTATTCCCAGATGTTGCATCTGTCCAATGGAAAATTAGGTTACGTCAAGATGTTGGCAATAAAGTCCAAGAACCTCTTTGAATACTGTTCCGGGTTAACTGTAGAAATCTCTGCACCAGCCTGCAAAGCAAGAATAAAAGGAGAGAACTGGAAAAACAGCTTAGATTGAAAATAAGAGGGTGTCTGTGGCACCTTAGAGCAGGGCCCTTCAGCCCGAGGCCCTTATTCCATTGCAGAGATACTCTCGAGGGTCTCAGGCCAGTGGGGGTTGAGGCCAAAGGCAAATGGGGCAGGGCCAAAATACTCCCAAATGCAGCTTATTTTAGCTTAACTGTCTTATTGCCAGTAACTAAGCCTGAGCAATATTCTAGCTGTTTAGAAGGGGGGAATGAGCAGAAAAAGATCTACTATTGGGAATGGAGCAAGGTAAAGGGGGCCAGATTCAAGGCCTGAAGTTAGGCATCCCTGAGTTAGAGACTGAACTGTTGCAGAATGAGCACTGCCAAAACTCTGTTGAGTAAATTGGGCTAAGAAATGGCATGGATCCATCACAAAGCACAAAGTACAAGTTAAGGTGCACTGGGAGATTAATGGTGCTGCCAAGGTGACAATGCACCGCACAGATAACACATTAAAAATACATATCCTGCTATTGCAGTTGGCACTGGACCTCTCACAAAAGATGCTGGAAGTTTCACTCCTTAGCTCTAACCAGTCACTCAAGCTCCTCCCCTTCAGTTCTATTCACCGTCTGTATATTTCAGTGTCAAAAGATACAAACCACTGACAGACATGAAATTTTAAAAGTATAGCCAATTACATTTCAGTAAACAGACTCTGGGGGAATAACGGCAACATCTTCAATCAGTTAGCAAACTGTTTTGAAGAACTGTTCAGCTCTAAACTAGATAAGTCACAGAAGATTCATACCTCTGTTTTCTCCAGTAGGTAGATAACTTGCAGCTTTAGGAGAGGGGGATATATTTAGACTGAGAAAATAGCATGGAAGGGAAGGGTCAAACCCCCCCCCCCCCCCCCCAGTAACGAAGTCCTAATTCAACTGAACACATCTTGACTGCTTTTCAGACAAAAAGGCACATTTGGAGATGGCAGACACAGATATCCCAACTCAATTAGTACAGGCTTCAGAGATTGTAAATTGAGGGAATGTGGCCAATTGGACATTAAAGCATCTATACTGGTGAATACTTAAGCGCACGAATGTGTTTATCAGTGATACTCACGCCATGTTTGACTGTCTTTGCAGCATGGGCAGCTTTCTTTTTTGCATCATAATGAGTAAGAATGTCAATGATGGCCATAAAGTACACTTCCTTCCTTGGTGCATCTGCAGGGAAGGGGAAGATCATGTAACTAAAGCTATATTTATCTCCAGAAGATTATGCAAACCTATGGAAGGAAACTGGAATGAATGAAGACAAGGCACCTGTAGTATTGATAGGTAAGGTGGCTGTTACCTCTTCAACAGCATGTTGGTTTCAACTTCTTGTAATGTAAGGACATATACAAGTCCTAGTGATCTTTTCTTTCTTTGGTAATGTAATGCTTTAAGATTCTTTTCTAGCCAAGACAAATGGAAGCCTCAAAAGACGTTGAAAGTATGTATCTTATTAAAGTTCAACAAACACTGACCCCAGCTTCAGTGTTTCTCCCCAGCCTGCTGAGGAAGAGAACTGAGACTGGAAAAAGGAAAAGTGTGTGTGTAAGCTGAAGTTGCAAGCAAGCTGAATGAGACACTAAAGAATGTTAACATGTCACCTTAAAATGTTCTTGCTTTTTGTTGTATGAATAAATATACAAAGATCTTAAATCTTCCCTGAAAACAGGAGTGGGCAATTTGTGGCCCTCCAAATGTTTGGCCTGCATCTTCCATCTACCCTAGCCAGCATAGCCAATGATGAGGGATGCTGGGAATTGTAGGCCATGACATCTTGATGGCCACAACTTGCCTAGCTCTGCCTAAACCTTTTATGTGCTTGTGTTTGGCTAATATCACTCTTACTTCCCTGAAAGTAAGCCCAAATTGACTCTTTGGGTTCAGTGTGTTCACAATATATTTGTGACAAAGGTTCATGTGTTGATTCTGTAAGAGTAACAACATGTAGTGACTTTGTTTTAATTGGCAGTGAGGAGTGATAATTGTTGCACACATATTTTAAAAGTCTTTCAATACTTGGAATAAGTCTGCTCTTCTAATTTTGAAACGTTCTTTTCTCCAAATACTGACCGGAAAAACACTCACTCGCTCTCCCTCTCTCTTCTACATTTTCCGCAGAAGTCTATTTCCATTATTCTTACATTGGACAGTTTTCCATTTTGTCTTTAGAAAAGAAATTTGGAACTGATCTTCATGTTTAAAAACAGGGACCCTTTGAAATATGCCACAGCAGTAACTTGCTTCTTTTGGTAAACCGTATTAATGATAGTGGTTCATTTACCAGGATTAAGAACAGTGATGTTTTGTAAATAGCTTTTCCAAGTAAATGCAAAAGTGAGGCCTTGTCTAGACACCAGCTAAGACTCTCAGGAACTTCCCACAGCATTCAGCAAGGCAAGTGGCTGGGATAATAAAATTGCTTGTGCTATCAGTGAATATGTGTGATGCAGAGAACATGAAGAAGAACTTTAGCAGCTAAAGCAATTAAAAATCTTACTCCGATAACTGACAGATATTGTGCTGCATACTTCTTGTCTTTATGTGGTTTGTTTTCCTTCTGAGAGCTCAGAGGTTCATGAAACAATAAAACTCTCTCCCACATCTAAATATTTATAGCATGTTCACTTACTTTCATGGCATTTTATTCCATAAACATCAATGGTTGGATCAAATTCTCCTGGAGCTAAAGGCTGCAAGCTGTTCAGCGTATTTCCTGGACTGTCTGGAGGTGTTCCAACTGGGTGAGTCCCATCGCTTTCCCCTTCATCGTCATCATTCTCTTCACATTCTATCTCCTCTTGTTCTGCTCTCTCAACATCATGAATTCCAACCAGCAAACTGTAGTCCATAAGTTTTAACTGAGCAAGGAACTAGATGGCAAAAATGCAGAGCATCAGTTACCGAGTAAAGAATACAAAATCAAAGATCTAGTTAGGAAAAGGCACCTTTCTTGTGCCAAACCTTAGTTTCTGCAACATGCTTAACTCAACTGAAAAACACAAAAGTGAGATACAGTGGAAAAATAAAGTGGGATCCTTCAAGAAGGTCATGATAAAGGATAGTCTGATGTGAAAGAAAAAGCAGAAAAGACATTCTCCAATTATGTTTCAGATACTAACTTAAGTGGCCTTACAAAGGAGATTAGACAAATTCATGGAGAATGGAGCTATAAACATAGTAGTGATTGTAACTCAGATTTCCTTAAAATTTAGCCTGTTCTACTATATTTATTATTTATTTCATTTCTATGCTGCCTAATAGTCAAAGTTCTCTGAGCGATTTACAACAGTTCTAAAAACAATACCATGAAATCTTATCAAACAGCTAAAACAGCACAGAACAAAGAGCAGCCCTGTAAGAACACCTGGGATGTGCAATCCATATTTCTGTTCCTACAGTGTATCAGCTGGGATACCTGCAAAGTTGCAACTAGGAGGAAAGCCCATTGGACTGAATGGATTTTACTTGCTGAATTCTTCCTGCTTTATCTCCTGCAACATTGCAATAAATGAAACCTAACACAGTGTTCTTCAGTCTACTCCCTTGTTCTCGCTGTTTCAACGTAACGGAGTACTTCCGTGTTTGGAAGATAAGCACACACTGTTTGTCTTCTTTTTCTCCTTCCTTCCCTCCTGCTTTTGCTTGCCTGCACTCACCCCCCACAAGCTGCAGAATTTTTGCAAGTCCTGAGAACCTGTCACACACACAAGAGCACTCGATCTCCATCAGTACTTTCAGAGTGTCACTCACTTGTCAGCGTGAGTGACAAGAAAGATGAGTACCCCACAGTGATGGACCTTGGCATGCCCACTGATGCACCCCATGCGCTCAGCCTTCCTCCTCCTACCTCCACTCCTCTATCCTGATGGCGCCACTGCCTGGTATGTCTACCAATTCAGCCACCCAGTTCTACCCATGGCATGGCAGCTCCACTTCCTATTCTGTGACCCTTGTCCAAAGAGGAAAATGGCAGAGGCGGGCGGCCCTGCTCCTGCTGTCCCAGCGCTGACCCATCACCTCACCAAATCTGCCACTTGAGAAAAGGTTTCAGTATGGTTAATGGGTAAGCCATGTCTGTTTCCCAGAAATGTGCAGAATAAACCTCCAAAAAACAAACTGAGAAGTCATACACTTTTTTTTGTGGTGGGGGGGGGGGAGGCTTGTGCTTTACTAATATAGTTGTTTTATATATTGCACACCTGCCCTCCAAGAAACAGCAAGCCTTAGGCTCTTCTTTTCTGCCTCAGCCTTTCCTTCTTACACCAATAACAATATCCTGATAATGTAGGCAGAGCCATGCTGGGTGAGACCAAGGGCCCATCTGGTCAGCATCCTGTCTGCACAGTGGCCAGTCAGCTGCCCTCAGGAAACCCACAAGCCCAGTGTGGCAGCACAGAGCCATCCGGACTAGTAGCCTTTGATCATCTTCCTTTCCATGAATTTGTCCAATACCCTTTTAAAATCATCTAAACTGGTGGCTATCACTACATCTTATGCAAGTGAATTCCATAAATATGTGCTGTGGGAAGAAGTATTTCTTTTTATCAATCCCAAATCTCCTCCTACCACTCAGCTTCATGGATGCCCTGGATGGGATGATCCTGGACTACAGGCAGAAAAAATGTTTTCTTATCCACTTTCTCCATGCCATACATAATTCTGTACACTTCTACCATGTTTCCCCTTAATCACCTTTTTCTAAGCTAAACCATCTCAGTTTTTGAAACTTTTCCTCACAGTGACCAGCTCCAGCTCCCTGATCATGATCATTCCCTCTTCTGCAATTTTTCCAACTCTACAATATCCCTTTTAGGTGTATTAACTAGAACTATACACAATATTCTAAGCATGGTTGCACCACAGATTTGTATAAGGGGGATACAATACTTTTGGTATATTGTAGAGTGTCATTCTCTATTCTTTTCCTAATTATGCCTTAGAGTTTGCCTTTTTCACAGCAGCTGCACACTGGGGTGACATTTTCATCAAGCAGTCCACTACAACCCCAAGATCCCATTATATCACATATTGACTGATCTTCTATTTGCACATCAACAAAACAACAGTTGTTGAGGGTTACAACAAGTATGGAGTTTTTAAAATCAGGGCACAGAAGTTATAAATTGATTTGCAACTTTTAATTATATTTATGCCTAAACTTTTTGAGATATTAAAGTATTTGTCAGGTAAAGCTATCTGGGATATATTACTATGAGAGGTGCTGTGACTATGCTGATTTTTTAATTTTACATTAAACTTCAGGTCTCTTCCAATCATGTATCAGACCTGTTTCATGTTATGAAACAGAAGCAGCATTGGTTGCTCTGCTTGATCATTTACACTAAGGAAAGGGTGAGGGAATGCAGCTTGATCGATCCTTCTGGATCTCTTAGCAGCGTTCCACATCAGTCACAGTATCTTTCTGGATTGGTCTTGGGAGGCATGCTTTCAAAGGGGTTCTGCTCCTTCCTAGAGGAGTAGCTAGAAGGCGACGCTGAGGCTCTTTTGCTCCACTGCATGGCCATTCACCTTTAAGTGCCATTTTGTCTTCCATGCTTTTTAACATCTACATGTAACCACTGGGGGGAAGTTAGCAGGTGGTTTGGGCTGAAGTGTCACCGATGTCTGGAGGCTGTTTTGAGTTGGATGAAAATAAATAAGCTTTCAATCCAGACAAGATGAAGGCACTGTGTGTAGGGAAACCAACTACACTAGATTGAGGTTTACAGCTTAGATGGGTTGCAGTCCCTGCAAAAGTGGATGCCTGGAAGTCCTCCTGGATTCTATACTGAGGAAGTCCAAGTAGCTGCAATATCCAGGAGCACATTTTACTAGTTAAGGCTCCTATGCCTATTAGGAGAAGAAGGATCTTGCTTCAGTTATTCGTGGACCAGTGACATGCAGGCTGTTTTTGAAGATGATTAAACTTCAGCTGGTGCTGAATGCAGCCATCCAAGTGGTGCTGGGAACAAGGTAGTCTGATCATATAATGCTTACACCATGCCAGCTGCATTGGTTACTGGTGTACTCCTGAGCCCATTCTGAATGCCACAGGATTTACCAATTTGGAACCAAATTATGGGAAGGACTGTCTTCACCCGTAACAAGCCACTGGCATGTCACGATCAGGAAAAGAGGACCTTATCATTTGCGACAATGGTTAGGTGGGAACTACTTGACAGAGGGCCCTTTCTGCAGTGCCTGCCAGGCCTGGAATAAGTTGCCAGTGTGGGTATGCCAGGGCCTATCATGGCAGGATTTTTATAAGGCCTTGACAATTTACTCTGGCTTTACCCCGATTACCTTTTATTGAACTGGACTGCAGCAGCCCCTGCATATTGTAGGATCTTGTTCTTTGGAATGTCTGCTGCTGTTCCTATTATTGTGCTGTTTTGTATTGTGGGTTTTAATGTTATATGATGCCTTGGGGAGGCTTCTGCCCTGAAAGGCAGCCAAGAAATATTATAACTCGATTAACTAAATAAAGTGTGGCATACTTAGAGTTGATCAGACAGTGCTCTTACCTCAACATCCTTTTTAAGTTTTTCGAGGAACATCTTTTTGTTGGTGTCATCAATGTAAATCTTTTGACCATCATTGATGAAGTCATTGTCTTTGAACGTTGGCAATTCTTTGGCCTAAGACAGACAGACAAAAGCTAGCACATATAAATCATTTCAAAACAATGAACGCAATGAAACAAACATGCTCAGTGAAACAGAGGTTGTCTGATCTTCAAACGTTCAGAGCCATCAAAATGCAAAGTAACAGCCACAAGGGGGCAGTAATGGGCTATAGCACTGGGGTGCACTACCAACACATCTAATCTAAGGACTAGGACGTTCACTCAGTGTTTATACACATCTGCTTCCTAGCTTCTTCTTTTATTAAGAGAGCCCTAATTTGCTTTCATGACTGATTTGCTTACATTAAGGCATTATTCACAGTTAAAAATGGGGGTGCATGTTCATCTGTAAGACCAACATTTATTTATCTCCTTCTTAATATTCATTGTAAGATACAAAATCTCATTTCTCAAAAGCTGTATTATATGGCAGGGGCTAGCATCTAGAGCAGCTACAGGGTCTCCAAAGGGTCAAAACTGGCCTGTTTGCAAACAAGCTAACTCTTACCCTTTGAGTGCTCCATAGTGCTTATAAATGCCTTAATTTTTTTTTAACCAATCTGTGGGGTGGAAGGGAAGCACACATGACTCATGCACCACCTGTTGCCAAGCCCCATCTAAGGCAAAGGAACATTGCAAGCAGGTCATGGACTTGTATGTTGCCCAGATGGCAACCATGGCACCCGGAGATGCTCCATTACCCTCCTTGATCTACCCACTCAGAGGTCCGAAGTGATACCTAGGAAAGCTCCAGCAAATTGAAAGGTTGCGCTTTGCTCAGACACAGTAATCCACAAAATTGGTGCATATTAGGTGGCCTTTCAATTTCTTCAATTAAGCATGCCAAAATAAACTGGCACTAAGAGAAGCCACTTTATGCTACATATTTGAACCACTATTTCCTGAAATGATTGGTGGAAGGTGTTGCTTTTTTGAGAGGCAGAGGTAGGGGTGGGGGGGGGGGGGGGAGGGAGGGAGGGAGGGAGAGAGAGAGCGAGCTTATGAAATCAACATATTCACAGGAGAACACAGGAAAGGGCAACACATCTAGACACAGGTTAGAAGCCTAGTGAAAAGAATGCAAATGGATGCACACACAGCCAGACCTTTTATCAAAAGTGCCAAGTATGCAAAAGCTAGACTGACTACAATTATGATCCTAAAGTAGCAATGGCCCTAATCAACTTGCATATACTGGTGCAAAATTCAAGTACGAACAAGCAGCAGAAGGGGGAATGCTACAGCTCTGCTACTATTCAACTGCAAGAATCAGCTTTCTTTGAGGCCATCTATTCACAGACTGTAATACTTCAATGAAAACATAATATTGCTACTTGCTTAGTCCTGAAATTGCATGTAGACTATTTGTAAAATAATAATAACTGCTTTCCTCTTCCAAAAGTTGGTTGGCAATTATTCGGGTGAAAAGGGTCACATAACACATTGCCTGTGGTAGAATTCCAAGAGGCACTTTAGTCTACTTGAATATAGCTTCTACTGTTAAACATGAGACTGAAGAATTCTCTCTGTTGGTTAGGTTCTTACTTCATGAATTATTTTAAGAATTACCTTTGCAGGGAAATCAGCCTTCAAGAGGAAAACCCACTCTTTTCATGAGAAAAGCTAAGGGCATTTCTGCATATTGCTCTCAACAGCAATGGTAGCACAGAGCCAAGAAGAAATGCAAGAAATATTGTACTATAAAGGTACAGAGCAACTTCCCTCAACCTGGTGCCCTGCGTATGTATTTGACAATAGGGTAATAGCTGGTTTGGAAATTATGGCAGCTGCAGGCCAACACACATGGAGGGCATCACATTATGGAAGGCTGGAACAGTGCTGCCATTACTGTCTTGTGGCAAGATAGCAACTCTGCTAGCCATAATTATCTAGCAATTGCCAGCCTAATTATGCAGTTTGGAGATGACTGGTGTTTTGAATATCCACAAAACACAATCTCCAAAAGCACCCTAAAGTTGCATCTGACCAACAATTTTCTTGAGAACCATCATGGGACTAAAAAGGTCTGTGCAAGTGCATGAGCTGATCTCTATAAAAAAGGCCTCCAGGTTGAATGGGAATTTATCAATAAAGATACTGGAATACCCCGCTATGGAGGGATAGGGACTGGCAACTTCAGGGTTGCCTCCTGGAGTCTGCCATATTTACACAAGCATTGCTGTTAGCATTTATTAGTTACATGATTTCAGGTCTTATACCATGGGGTCAAAGCAGATGAAATCATGGGGACTTGTAATCAGGCATCCATTCTCTTTATGTTAGTAAAAAGCAGCAGCTGCTGAGAAAAGGGAAGAGATTCAGGTTTCAGCTGTTGTTCTTTATAGTGTTTCCCCACATTTTGCCTTTTGTTCCAATGAACGGTAAACTCCAAGGGCTTTTTACTCTATAAAGTTTGTCTTGTTTTTTTTTTAAATGCTTTCATGTTGCTGTGCACTGTGTACAGGTGCTCTTGTTTTCCAATGTTCTCGAGTGGAGTATTAATGCTCAAAACAAGAATAAAAATAGCAGCCTCATTTGGAAAGTAATGTGGCGGTAAGCATGAAGCCCATTCCCCAAATCAATAGTCCTAAACCAAATCCTACTCCCTGGAGTTCTATTTCAAAAAATACAAAAATGGGTGATCCGGTCTCAGCACCCATCATCTACTGGTCTAGTTGGACCATCACCTTTCAGGGCAAGTAGCTTAAGCAAGCCTTGACATGTTCTTCCAATGGATTTGGACCTGAACTTTATGATCCGCCACATTCAGCTAATTAGGCTCTTGCAAGTTTGGCCTTTGGTTTCACTTCAGTGCAGCTTACTCACAGCCAAGTGGAAACAGGACTGCAGCTGGAGGAAGCAATCCTGTGGTCTCCCAAAAAGTGCCCAAGGGATCACTGGATACTCCAGATGCCAGATCAGAGATAATACTCTGGCCTTGGAGCAGGGAATCAGACCTCTGACATCCCTCCACCCCTGAAGCTGGTGTGGAAGGAATGCAACCTTGGCGATAGGTAAAAGGGGCGTTTCTGTGGGTTAGAAGGTGAGGAGACTAGAGAGGTCAGGATATGAGTCATCATGACATTTCTTCAGACTCCTCCTCTGCCCTTCTGGAGGACAAGGAGGTGAACACTGCCTTTACCTCTCCTGCTAACCTACACAAGATACCTGTTAGTTTCCAAGTTCAGGGGCTTACATTCCTTGCAATAGGATTGTACCCTAACCGATGTACAGGAGGCATAATTGCAAAACTGTGTCATGTGATCGCTACTATTTCACTTTGTTAAAAACCTGATGTTAAGGTGACTAAGTAGCTACATTAATAAAGTCTCACCATACCTTTTCCTTGTCACTGGCTTCTCTTGCTACTGTAGAGCCCTGAAACAGAAAGAATGTATCAAAAGTCCATCTGGGAATAACATGCATGCGGAATTACTTCATTAAATTTATTATTTTTTCCTATAGCATACCACAAAATCAATCCAAGTAAACTTGGATTATTTTATGATTAACAAATAATTCCAAAATACAATACAAAATTCTTAGGTTAACATAAGTAGTATATTAAAGATTATATTATCAAAAAACAGACTACCAAAACATATTTACAGCTGCTCTGAAAACCTCAAACAAAGGAACACTCTCTCTATGGACTCTCTTTGTCCTGTCGCTATTATCTTTAATTTCACTATAAACCTCTGGAGAAAGCTTCAGTAATAACGTAGTTCCTACAGACAAGTCTTAATCTATAATGGAAAGTGCCATCAAAACTTACTGTCTGCACTCATTGTAATTAAAGTAATCAATCTAGGGATAATTAGCAATGTTGCAGAGATGCTCAGCACAATACATTTTTTAGTTACATTAGTCAAAAGCCAAAAAAACCGAAGTAACACAAAATCACAGACATGTCTGTCTGCTTGGTGCCTGCCCAACATTTTGGAGATGAACTGCTTGCTTAGGAACTACCAGCACCCGTCAAAATACCAAGCTGCAGTGATGAGGAGTTGTCGCTTAGTGTGTGTAGCCTCAGAGGCAGCAGTGCATCTCCAAGACAATGGACAGGCTGACCCAAAGCAAACAGGCGATTTTATGATTTTGTGCCAATTGACCCATCTGCCAACCTCACCAAATACCAACTTTTACTTGTTGGCAATAGGATGCAATGTTTAATTTTAAACTGATTTATGTAATTGAATGTGTAGTTCTAGGAGCCATGACGCATGAGTGCATTAATGTCAGCAGCACATGACTCTTGGCAGATGCAGAAACAGCCAGGCAGTCATTCAGTAGACTCTAGAAAATGCTTATGCAGCCCTTCAGGGAAGGCAGTGGGTAGCCTTTGCCAACCGGATGCCCTCAGGATGTGTCTCTGAGGATGATGGTCCTGGTGGTTCCTCATGGGTTGGTGGTCTGTTCAGAAACCACCAGAAGTGTGGCCTTTAGCATGTTGGCTCCTGCCCCACAGACTGCCCTTCCAACTGAGGTCTGGCATGCACTTCAACTGCTTTGCTTATGGTGTTGGCTGAAGGCTTTTCTTGTTTGGACCAATGACTAAATTCCAGCCACTGTTTTCTGACGTTTCTAAAAGCATTTTAATGTTATATTTTGATTTGTTATACCCTTCTTTAGTATTTTTCAACATGCAACAACAACAATACCAGGGGGCAGCAGGTCAAGAAAGACTGAATCAGGGTATGTTCTAGCCAAAAGGAGGTGAAATAAAACCTTGATATTGTCAATCAAAATGAGTTTGGCTAAAAAAAATTACACTGAATTAAAGGGGGAAAAGTAAGCTAATAAAATGTAGACTGTTTATTTTCTGCAATCGGGGCTTTCAGGCCACACTTTACAATTATGTTTCAGTCTGTCTCAACAAATGTGAAGTTTGCTGCTGTTTTTTTAAAGTGCAGACCAGATGGGAAGGTATTTGGTTTTTTTGCTAACATAGCATGCATTGGTTGGTTAAAAAAAAATGTACTGAAGGTAATTTTTCCTGAAAGAACGGCCACTCACTCTCCAATTTAGATGTACTTTTTTCAGCTCACCACATTTCTTGTGAAGGAAATAAGGCAGGATATGGGGAAGCTAATTTAGGCAAGCATGAAAGTCAGTCTTAAAAACACTAGCACCACAAGCTTATGTATTTCTGCTTAGAAGTCCCATTCAGAAAGTGGCTTAATCCCCAGTATATCTATTTAACATACTGAAGAGATACAGAGTTCTATTTTAACCTTTTAAAGTATTTTGAGGCATTACATAAAGTCTGCATGCAGATAAAAGTTACAGCAGTCCACAGAACGTATTAAGGATATGAGAGTTGCTTCAGCTATTCCCTGCACCCAACCCAATAGCTTTGACTGCAACCATTAGCACTTATCTATTTTAGCTAGCATACTTTTGTTAAGCCACTTCCTTTACAACACACAATACAGCTCAAATTATCTTATTTCCATAAAAAGACTTCGGCAGTAGAAAAGCCACAACCTCTGTTTGAGTAATCATAGCTTAACAAAATGGTTTGCTCTGTTTTTTCTAATGCTTTGCAATGGTTAGACTCTGAAGTACTCAATTGCTACCATTTAAAAACAACGCAGTAACTGTAATGTTCACAAATAACAGATATTGCTCACCTTTAAATCGTATTTTCTATAAACGGATAATCGATGGCTGAATACATTTCTTGTAACAATCATATATACTTCAACTCCATCCACAGTAAGCCGGTACATGCCCAAAAATTGGGGAAGTAACGTATTGCCATGACATTCCACTATAAACTGGAGCAAAGGGTTCAAAAAATGGAAGTAATATTAGAACTTAATATTACTTAAGTTCATTCTCTGAGGGATTCTGTGGAGGGCTATTGTAGATACTTGGAAAGAACAAATTAGGATTCAGATGCATTAAGGGCATGATTCTGGCATCATTAGGGGTCACAGGATTCTTCAGAATAGTGCGTTGTTAGACAGAAAAGTAGCATTCTTAGCTACTATCAGTTTTGTGTGCGACTGTATTATTATTACATTGCATTACTATTACACCTTTCATTTCTCTTGCATGGAACAAACAGCAACTCAACCTAATCCTGTCAGGTAAGTTAGATGCAAAGTAACTTCATGGCTGAATTGGGACTTGAACCTAGATCTCCCAAATCCCCACTCCAACCAAGATACCACACAGGTTTAGAATTAAAAATTATGATAACCATCTCTCACTGTTTATTTTGTAAACTCCAAAACTTCAGGCATCTATCTCAGGCTTGATGCACTTGATTGATATGTTTTGTGAACTTTTTGGGTACTCATTTAATTGAACAAAGTTAGAAATTGATACCGGTTGGAAACAATATATTGCTTAGCATATTAACTAATTTTGATCGTGCTCAGATTTCATTACTTATTTGGCAGTACTTTACCCCAGAGACATATTTTTACCAATTAAATTAAACCAACCAAACTGACTCAACAAATCTCATGGGATATAGATAGAGTTGCGTTTCTAAAGCAGAGTTTGAGAAGTTACAATGGGTTTAAAATATGTTTGTGGTGACCTGCATTAGTAACTTGATTTGTTTACTTTAAATCAATTAGTGGGTGCTGATTAAGATTTTCTGTCATTTTTAGATTTGTGTGCCAAACATGATTTGCCTGCTATAGCTGAATGTCAATACTTGCAAATGCAACATTAGTTAGAATCTAGGTTTGGCTCTGCAGGTTTTACAGTTTCACTCTTCTCTGCTATTGGAGACACTTATCAAAGCTGATCAGTTATATCAATCCACCATCCAGGTTATAAATATGATACACAAGATCTAAAGCAGGAAGAGAATAGGGAACCAGAGTGGCCTGCTCAGTCTAACCAGTGGATTATCACTTTAGCATCCATATCTGATGTTTCAAGGGATCTTGAGTATTAAATAAAAAACCTTTTCTTATTTCATGTTTAATGGATGCCACATCTCTAAAGAGATTTCTCTAAGTCAGCTAACTGCTAGCAATGTTGTACTACATTATGTGCATTACAATGTTAATGCTTCTGCTGCTGCTAGCGGAAGTGCCCAGAGCACCATCTAGTCCACCTTTGTTGGATAGGTTCTAATTATTGTGGCCTGAGGGTGCAGACAAGGTGCTTGGACAAGTCCAAGCTTCCACATCTTTACCCAACTCTTGTCCTTCATGGGTGATCACTAAAGCCAAGGATGGGATGCATACCTGGGTCCAGGAAGCTGTAAACACCTCTCTGATGGAGGGGCTGGTTCCTGCTCCCTTAAAGGAGGCAGTTGTTAGGCCTCTCCTAAAGAAGGTGAAACTGGACCCAGAGGTTGCCACCAATTATAGACAGGTGGCTAATATCCTGTTCTTGGGCTTGAGCAGTTGGTGGCAGGACAATTTCAGGCACTCTTGGAGGAAACTGACCATCTGGATCCATTTCAATCTGGTTTCAGAACTGAAACTGCCTTAGTTGGCCTGTCTGTTGACTTCTGCCGGGAAAGGGACGTGGGGAATACATTTCTGTTGGTTCTTCTGGACCTCTCAGTGGCTTTTCATACCATCAAACATGCTATCCTTCTGGATAGGCTGGCCAACTTGGGGGTTGGAGGCACTGCTTTACAGTGGTTCTGCTCCTACTTGGCCAGCCAATTCACTGGAGGTATTTAAGGAGAGGTTAGATGGCCAACTGTTAGGGATGCTGTGGTTATGCTGTGTAGATTACTTCATCAAGTAGAAGAATGAACTGGAATACCCTCAAATGTCCCTTCCAACTTTAAAATGGTTCAATTGTTTGAGAGTATTATTTTTCTCACAAAATTCTACCAAAATCAGTGCCACTACTGCACTACAGTAGGGAGGCATCTTGCACCTCCACTCTAAGCAAAAGAGAAAGAGGTGCAGCATTTAGTGACTTCTCTTTACTTTTGAGTAACTTATAAACACATTATGTTTGAGTTCACTATTCTATCAATATTCTCTACTCACAGGTAAGTAAGCCTGAAATCTTATGCACACTTACTAGGGAAGAGTTGTTGCTGAAAACATCCTAGTGGAGTAAGTGGACATACTTTTAAGTAAACCTAAATAAGCTTAGACTGCTTCAATCATGTTTATGACTGATTCTACACAGCATCCGCATACTTGGTTATTTCTACTGTAGCCACAATGCCAAAACATTCTGCATATCCCATCATTTCGTAAGATCTACAACCTAAAGCTTGTTCTACAGATGCCTTACTAGACATAAAGACATGTCTGATTGTAAGCCACCCTGAGATGCCTTGCAAAAGGGATGGCATATACAAGTTATAAATGAATGAATGAATGAATGAATGAATGAATGAATGAGAAGAAGCGGCTTACAGGTGATCCATAATTTCCTAAGAATTTAGTCATACCAATTTAAAAACTAGAGCTAGCACTTTATTCCCAGAAACCCCACAGTAACATCAACTGGGTCACCATGAGGCATGCACCTGTTCATCTCAAAGCAGTTACAATATCCAGACATAAGTGTTCTAGTATCCACCAAAGGAAGAATACATATATAAATGCTACAAGCCCACCTGAAAATAGTCAGGTAAATTAAAACCAACAAGGCCTATAATTTTCCTCTATATGTGTCTTACACAGGTAGCTTTGTCTGTTGCGTAGAGGATTCTAGTATGCATTTATGTTAATGCATAACATAACATAAATGCATGTTATTGGTGGTGACTGGGGCAGACACAAACTCAGAGACATTTAAACAAGTTATGCCTGTGACTTCATTTAATGTCTGCTGAAAACAGTTTATTTACATGTAAATATAACCAGAGATTGTGAACACTCAGTTTAGAAAGAGGGATACAAATGAGATGCAATGAGAAGAAAGTGCTGGGAAGCTATTTAGGGATGTTGTAGTAGCCTGTAAAGCAACCTTTAAAATGGAAGGAAGTAGAGAAGAGGAAACAGCAGGTAGCCGCTGCAGTAGCAGATGGAGAAGAGCCATATTTTGCTTTCAAAGTGCAGACTGAGTACAGTTTTTAAGAACTGCACTGCAATTACTTTTACAATGTGCATTCCTTAAAATTATACAGGTGCAATCCTTATGCATGTTTAGGAAGAAAAAAAGCCCTACAGCTCCCAGCATGCCTCAGCCAACCCTAAATAGGTTTCTCATACCAATAACAGCACCCCAAGGACAACTAAATGCATAAGACAAAATGAGTGCCTTTCATTATACTTTTTAGTAAACACTTGATTGCCTGAAACTGAACTAAAATTGTATGTAATCAATAGGATCTGAAGTATTTCCTTCAAGAGAGAAGAATAACTGCCTTGTAAATGTGACTTGTGAATGCACTGGCTACACACTTTCTGAAAGGAGGACTGAATGTCATTCAAGTGTCAGTTGGTGTTGATATAGAACTCTGAATTTTCTGTCACAATTGTTGAAAGCAGACCATCATACCCGAACATTCCACTCATAGTAAAATCAAGATTATTTGTCCTTACCTCATAAAATCTTGCACCTAAAAGAGTTATAAGACAACCACATTTCGCACTAAAATGCACCTTTCATTTAAGTGTGATCATTTTTTGTGTATTCATAACGCTCCCAGCTTTTTTTTTTTCAGCCAGTTTGGATTCTATAAAAACACTTCAATGTTTAAATATAACATTAGTCACAGTCACGGAATGGACTTATTTTGGCAGAATCTGATTAGTATAAATAATTAACACACTGATATAAAAATTGATACAACCCCCCCCCGAAAGTCATATACAATTGTTTCAAAGTAATATCAGATGTTATTTCTATCATTTTAAACCTTTCATTGAATAAGTGCAAGGCTACTATTAGCTTGCCTTGATAATTGGTTAAATAGTGTGGCTGCAAAAATAAATTTATGCTGGTAAGAAGTGGGTGTCAGCCATTTTTGCTGTCACCTTTGGTTTTAGGGTCAAAGCTAAAAGCTGCTTCTGTACAGACAGAGTTAGGTTTAGCGGGTCAAAATACATACAAAACCAAAGCTAACAAATTCCCCTTGAATAGCCTCAAAACCTGGAACAAAACAATGTAAGCTGATGTGGTCACATTTATTCAACTTCATCTCAACTGGGGAGGCAGACTAAAGGGTTATGCCAAGGACTTGAAGATTCATGGATCAGTAGTAGAGCAGACACTTTGAAGGCAGAAGGCCCAGCTTTGATTCCTGGCATCTCTAGGAAGAGCTAGAAAAGAGTCCTGTCAGCAACTCTGGAGAGCTGCTGCTGGTCAGTGGAAACAATATGGGGCTAGATGGCTCAAAGGGCTGAGACAATCTTCCTACTTCACCAAAGAATACAAAAGGGGGGAAAAAAGCAATCTGCAGGCAATCTTCCTACTTCGTGAAAGTTAAGAGAAGGAAAAAAAGCATTACAGCTTTTTTACAATATTAAAGGGCAAACTATTAATTCAATTACAAATGCATTGGCAACAATTTCCAGTTTAAATTCCCATTTTCCTACAGCGTTACACAGTCATTCAGCTACGTGTTTCTCCTCATAGGCCTACCCTTTTAAAACAAGCTAAGAATTACCTGGTGGTATTTCTTCAGTATGTTGTGCATTTCTGCTACATCTTCACTTGTTATAGTTTTGATGACATATCTTTTGTCATAAGAGGTATGAAATCGGGCACCGCTCCGAGCTTGAGAATCATTAGCAAGTGGGCAACTTCTTGTCAAAGAATTCTGTCACATTAATTAAAAACAAGGCATCAGAATAAAATGTTAGTGCAATTAAAACATTTAATGTCTGACTGAATCATACTGCTGTCAAAATATAGGACTGCTAGTTGAATTATATCTTGAATACTTTGGAAAAAGATCAAGGTGGGAGAATCAGTTTAACAGTATTGTGACATTCTATAAAGAGACTAAAAATATTCCTGGAGAAATCAGAGTGATGGTGATACAATAGGCTACTGTGAAGGTATTTCACTAATAGCAGGTTTAAGACTGAATATTCAAAACGAACATTTTCAGCATGGAGGAGCTTTTGGAGGGACAAAAGTGTTTTAGTACAATCTCCAAAGGTTTACCTTTCCTGTCAGTTTGATGCATCATTTCTTTGTGCTTGAAAATTGCATTGTTAAATGTCTTAGTAATAGCAATGTTATCATGCTACCAATTATATTTGGCTACGCAAAGTGGTCATTATTATTAAGAAGGATTTTTTCCAAAGAAAACATGGTGCCAAAGCTACAGGTGAGCTGCTATCTCTGAAGAATATTCTCACCATGCGAATGCTACGGATGCAAGCGGGAGGAATGTTGAAAGGTTCCTGAGCATTCAGCTGCACAGTCACCTTCACTCCCTTTGTACCTGCCCCAAAAAGTTCCTAACAGAGGTGCAGGGGTTAATGCACTCCCTCCACATCATTTTAGTGCAGTTTAAATTTGTTGGTTTATGCCACAACCTACATGAGTTAGGTGAACTGCCATGCTGTTTCTTCTAGCTTGTCACATGCAACTAGACCTGGTGTTTTTCTTTAATCTTCTTTTAAGTCAATGCTGTAAGTACTGTTTATTACAGAGATTAATTAATTATGATGGTTCTTCAAATAAGAGTAACACTTCTTAATGTTGACAGTCTATCATCCACTCATTACATTACTGGGAAGGAACAGAAGTCCCTCTCATCATATTTAATGCAAACTGAAATTTAATATATACTTTAAAAACACAGAAAAGCAAGCAGTAGATGAACAAATATGCTGGCTTCCTGCAAGACAGCCACTTTAATGTCAATACAATGCAGGTTTAGGCTTTGAAATTTAATACTTCACATCTTCAAATGATGCTAGTCTCAGCAAGTGTCTCATCTTAATATATTTTAAGAATGAGGATTATAGCAGTACCAAAAAGCAATGCATTTTATTTCTTAGATAAAAATAGCTGCCCAATATAGTGTGTCATTCTGAAAGAATGAGGACATATTCGAAAAAGGTTTGTTCCATCACAATATGGTGCCAAATATGTTGACTCAAGCTTTTTAACTAAATCTTTATTTACATTTATGTCCCTTTATTGGTGCTGTTATCTTCCCTGAACATAAAATAATCTGCATTCCAGCAAGGAATCAGAATGGTTCAAGTAACTGAATTTAAAATAAATAAATAAATAAATAAATAAATAAATAAATAAATAAAATCATGGGCCTAGTGCAGGGGTCCCTAACACAGGCAACCCCAATGGTTCCCCATCATGGACCCTGCAGCACTGAGAATTTTTAAAATGAAATAATAATTTACAAAATACCTATTTTTAAATCTATGTACATGGATTTGTATATGGAATACATATAACTTTTTAGCAATTATATACAGGAATTCCTAAAGGGGGACTAAATATCCATATCAGTATCCATTTGAAATTGTTCCCCATATATCACCCATTCATAGATTGAAAGTATTAGATCCCCAATCCATTGCATTAAGGTGTAAGTATGCTTCCTTACAATTTTGTAACATCAGTATTTTAGCTTTCAAAAACATTCAGAGAATCCATTTCCTCTTCCGTTTGTTAATTTCCAATATAAAAGAGAATGTACGTCAGTAAATATTACTGTTCCAATATGAAACTTATCCATATAATCTCTTCCCCAAAGTTGCAAGTACTGGGCATTGCCAAAGCATATCTTTAAACGAATCATTACCTGTATTGTACCGCCAACAATTACCTAAGTTAGACATTCCCTTATTAAAGAGATGAAACAAACATTGTTGCTAATTAAAATGCAGCCAAAGATCCATACATGCAATAGGTAGATACTAAGCCACTTGGCTGGGCATTTTGTAGTGGTACCCATGGCTATTTCTCAAATTTCTGAACGTGCCCATGGGTCCAAAAGTTTTGGGACCCCAGTTGTATTGTAAAGGTCACACAGAACTAGACCTAATCTGAGACAGAAACAATAATAAAAAACAAAGCTCCCTAGGCCATAGTCCTATGCATGTTAAGGTCCTACAGCCTCCAGCATAGGTGGCTGGGAATGCTAGGAGTCACATATCTCCAATATATATTAGTGGCACATATTGCAACACAGAACTCATTTCAGCAGGGAGTGCTTTTAAAGTTCCAAGACATAGTAATGTTGTTATAAAAAAGGTAGAGGGTTAGCCCATAGCACTTCCTTTATTTCTTGATCCAGAAGAACAAATGTTGATTTCCCAGTAGCCCAAGTCAAGGTCTAAGGCTGGTTCAATTATTTTGGACCCAGGGCAAAAGAGCCTGTCTCTGGGAGTAAATTACGAGTAAAATGAATTAAACAACAATTTGCTGCCCTTTCAAGACATCCAAAATCAGTTGTTTTTCTCCACAAAGTCATGACTGACTCAAAGTGACTTAGTATGTTGTCTGAACTCACTGTAGTTCCCACAGGGTGACCTCTTTGTAGTTCCCAAGGCTCCCCAACAAGTCACAAGCTTATTGTAGGATTTTTTAACAATGCTTGGGGCTTGCCATGTTGTAGTCCAGGTGTTGTCCAAAATCCTAAAGAGCCACTTGACAAGAAAAGCTTGCCACTTTAGCCAAGTGGTTCTGGATTAGGGCTTCTGGCAGCTGCACTGAAATAACCTCTTATGGAACCTAAGCACAGCATGCATGGCTTGTTCCAGTTCCAGAAGAGGCCACCCAGACCACCTCATTAAACTGTAACTGGGGCTTGAGGAGAAGAAACATGGAGATGCCACCACTGGTGTCTGCTGAGCCAGTGACTGCCACCTGCCACCTTTAAAAGCCCCAAGTAAGGGTTGGAGAGGCGATGCTATTGTCTATCTGTTCCATTCTCTGGGGGCACTGTCCGAAGCTCCTTCCAGTTGGTGGGGGCTGGCTGCTTCTTGCAGCTGTCAGAAGCACCCCCCCCCCCAATTCTGGCAATACTGCTTCTTTGCTAGAGGCTTTCATGTCTACAGGAAGCAAGGTAAACCTCAGGTTCCCACAGTATCCCCTGGGACATCTGCAGGAGGAACAAAGGGAAGAGAAAGATGAAGTGGCTGCACAGGCACAATAAGCCCAACTGTCTCTCCTTGTGGAACACATTATGTGTGGTAAACCACTCAGTGTGGCATGCTGGACAGTGAGAATGTGACCATTGTCTCCATACTTTAATGAGTGCTTACTTTAAATATTTCCTGTCTCCAAATTTTCAAAGATGAAGAACACAGCTTTGGAAGAATTCCTTTTGAAAGAGACTGTGTTGCATATTAGGTTCCTCCCATGGACATTTTCCTAGCATGCATCACATGCAGAAATTTTTAGTGCTTAAACTAACACCAAAGCACAGGGAAAAAATCACTAGAGGCCAGCTTTGTTTCCCTTTAATCTATTTCAACTTTTCTTGTATTATTCAGTCTCCCTTCTTGCAATTAAAATACCTATCAAACTCAATTTTAATAGCTTTAATTAGCTTATTTCCCTGTACATGACTCTGAATGAAACTTGGTTGTCAGAGTTTCACATTTTCATTTAAGTTAATACAGTTTTTGATAACAATAAGCACAAACTTTCTGATTCAGAAAAAGTGACTGCCATTATGGACTTAATAAAATCTACAAGCTCTAACCAATTTTAGCCAAATGTGCCTTGCTACAGTTTAACAAAGTGTCTGGGTTCACATGCAATGACAAGTAAACTTATGTGGAATTTTTGCCTTGATGTGCCTTGCAGATGATTAAGTGGTTTCTATACTAGGGAGATTTTCACCTTCCTCACTCAGACTTCCCACTGTTGGCATGTATCCCATCAGCCCCCATGTCTGAAACTCAATCCTGTGCTGAATGGCTGGAGTCGCTCTTGCAGCAGCTGCCACTCCTTCCAGGGGTCTCTGCGGTGACTGCACACCAGAGTTGTTGAAACAACGGTGAAGTGTAGAAACCATTGAACAGACCATCATTTATTATCATGGATTCTAAAAAACTAATGAACCATGCTAAAATACCACAACAGGTTTCAGATGACACAACAGACTGTCCTGCATGAGAAAACATTGTGGCTTGTGTTGTACAAACCCACCCAATCAGTTTGAAGGCCACCACAAAGGGTAAGGGGCAGGAACTATATTGGCCACACTGTAAAGGTGAATAATAGAAGTCAGCTTGGGGTGGGGTGGGGTGGGGGGTGGGGAAATGCTGTATAAATTCACTACTTAAAGAAATGGGATATTGTTATGAGGCATACAAATTTAATTATTTATTATATTTATACCCTGTCTTTTTTCTTTTCAAGGAACCCAAGGCAGCGTACATGATTCTCCTCCTCTCAATCTTTTCCTCACAACAACAATAATCCTGTAAGATTGTGCTGAGCGCCTGTGACTGGCCTGAAGTCACCCAGTGAGCACTGTGCCTGAGTGGGGACTAGAACCCAGATCACTTAAGTCCCAGTCCTACACTCCTAACCACTATATCACGCTGGTTCTCCCACTGCCTTTAAACACACAATTATTTTCCCCACAATACTAATTCATTGGAGCAACCTTTGGGTGAAAATGTCATGATCTCTATGCAAGGTCAATAAAAATAAAAAGTCCATGTGCACCAAGAGCAGTTAGCACGAGAAATGGCTGAAGGTCATGAAATTTAAGCTGACCTTTAACACTTACAACTTCAATCAAGCCAAGTACTTATCCCATACCAGAAATATACAGGCGCTTGTTAGATTACCTGCATTATAAACCCAATGAAGCCCAAA